GGAAGCCCTAGATATTTAAAAGGAAAAGCTCCTCTCCTACAATTCAACAAGTTCGCCCCTTGCTCTAACCACTGATCCGGCATATTCATACCTATCAAATTACTCTTGCTGAAATTCACCTTAAGGCCTGATACCAATTCAAAATTTTGTAATATTGCCTTAATAGTTTCTAAAGACCTCCAATCCCCTTGAGTCAACAGCAACGTATCGTCTACAAATTGAAGATGGGAAATCTGAATCTTGTCTTTGCCTACTATGAAACCCTTCCACAAATCCAAAGATACCGCCAACTGGACCATTTAATTAAGCCCTTCTGCAGCAATCAAGAATAAAAAAGGAGAAAGTGGGTCCCCTTGTCTTAATCCTCTTCCTACATTGAATTCCTCAGTTGGGCTACCATTGATCAGAACAGACGATTTTGTCGAACACACACATTCTCGCATCGAACTCACCCATCTAGGTCCAAAACCCATCTTCCCCATTACATCCCAAAGATACTCCCAATTTACCGAGTCGTAGGCCTTCTCGAAGTCCACCTTAAAACACACCAAGGCTCTTCTCAACCGCCAAGCCTCTTCCACTACCTCGTTTGCTATTAGAACCCCATCCAAAATCTACCTACCTTTCACAAAATCTGACTGGGATCTAGAAATTATAGTTGGCATCACTCTACTCATCCTATTGGCCAAAACCTTGGTAAGAACCTTATAAACACTACCAATCAAGGATATTGGGCGGTAATCACCTAAACCCTGGGGATTGTCATTTTTTGGAATCAAAGTAATGAAAGAGTTGTTGACTCCTTTAACCAGCTTACCATTAACGAAAAATTCATCAAAAAACCCCACAAAATCCTCTTTTAGAGTATCCCAGAATTCCTTGATAAAACGTAAATTAAAACCGTCCGGACCTGGGCATTTGTTACCATCACAACTCCATACTGCTTCCTTAATCTCTGCCTCTGAAAAAGGTGTTTCCAAAAAAAACCTCTCCCCTTCCGACAATGAAGAAAACCGCCACTCCCCCAATCTCGGCCTCGCTTTATTTGATTCCCGAAAATGACTTTCAAAAAAATCCTTCACCTTTCGATGCATATGAGTTTTTTCTTCCACTAGTTCCCCATCAAAATCTAGACATCGAATTTCATTGCTTTGCCTACGCCGTGCAATAGATCGGTGAAAATATTTCGAATTAACATACCCCTTCCCGAAGCCACTGCACCCTTGATTTTTGGTGCAAAATAGAGCATTGATGGCCTACCCATTTTCATAATTCCCCCCTTTTTTGATTTAGGTAGGACAATTCTTCCTCCTCTAAACCTGCCTCTTCTTCCTTTGACTCAAGATTGTGAATTTCCTCATGTAGCAATTCAATATTCTTGTTAATATCCCCAAACTCCACCTTATTCCATATTTTTAAACGCTTTTTTAACTCTTTCAATTTTTATTTCAACACAAAACACTTCTTCCCCCTAATCTCCATTCTTCCCCAGGCATCTTCCACAAAAGGCTTAAATCGAATGTCGTCGAACCAACAGTTTAGGACTTTAAACGGCTTAGGTCCCCACTCTGATACACCTGTCTTAAGTAACACAGGACAGTGATCTTACATGCCTCTAGGAAGCCCCCATTGTTCCAACCCTTCCCGTGAAGATGCAAAATCCACAGAAACAAGATACCGGTCCAATCTACTCATAGTTTTGCCATCATTTCTAAACCAATTAAATTGTCTCCCAAACATTTGTAGATCTAGCAATCCTGATGAATTGACAAAATCTGAGAATAACCGCATCTCCTCCCTTCTATCGAAACCCCAAACCCCTTTCCTCTCCTCCTTACATCTTATGGCATTAAAATCTCCCACCACACACCATCGATCCCCCCCTCTAGCCTCGATCTCCTGAATTAACTCACGCCAGCATCCTTTCTTTCCTTCTAGATCACACGGAGCATACACATTCACCACTGACACCTTCTGACTTTCACCTACCAAACAACCAACCACACCAATATAATGAGTTCCCATGAAGAATTCAGAGAGCACAAATTTAGACTTATCCCACAAAATTAAGAGACCTCCAGAATGCCCCACTGCCTGCTTGGAAAACCAACCCACATCTTCATGACTCCACAACGACTCGCACAGACTCCTAGACACAACCTCCATATTTTTCTCTTGAATACAAAACAACCACGGTTTGTGAACCTTTATCAACTTCCTCACCTCCCACTTCTTTAGCCTCCCCCCTAAACCTCGGACATTAAGAGTAAGAAACTTCATAAGACACCCGTTTTATTCCCACCCCTCCTCGATTGATTACTATTCCTGTCTCTAACCTCCAATCCTTCCAGTTTACGTAAATAATCATCACTATTTGGATAAACAATCCCCAACCTTTCCCCTATTTCCTTCATTTGAATAGCTACCTCGCTCGGCTCTAAGACCTTATTAGGAACAATAAAAGCCTTATGAAGCGCAGTATTACCAGATTGTGGCAAATCCTCAAGCATATATTCCACCTCTACGTTCAACAAATTTTTCTCAAAATCCTCCCATGGGACGCACGAGATGCTTCCCCCCATCACCTCAGTAACGTAATGGTCCATCCCCCTCTTTGCCTCCGAACCTACCACACCAACCTCTAACCCAGTAACCTCTACCCCACCAGCCACCACCTCACCGACCACCGCATCACCGACCACCATCCCGTCGCTCACCACCTCGCCAGCCTCTACCCCACCATCCACCAAACCGCCTACTACCACCCTACTAACCTCCTGCCCGTCATCCTCCCCCCCAGTGTTCATCACCTTTTTGACCCCGGGCTCACTAGAAAACCCATCTAGCACACCCACATCCCCATCTTTAAAGTTTGTCAATCCCTGCCCAAACCCCTCCCTAATCTCATGCCAAAACCCATCGATTGTCCAACCAAATTAGCATAACTCACGACCACCTTGTGACCTTCAGGATCAGTTGCATTCAAAACACCACATGCCTCCTCACGCACTACATCACCTTCACCATCTACCAACCCACGAACAGGATTCTTGTAGGAAATACGTGACCCCATCACACCATCTTGATGTTTTAGAGGGGACAAAACATGATTGGAGGAATTTACATGGTTGTTCCGTTTCAGAGGCAATGAACACGCTTGAAACCCAACCGCCTGAGAAGAATGCGTTCCTTCACCCAATGACATATGACCCACATTAGGTCCAGAAACAACATTACTGTCCACACCCAACACATTACTCTTCACACCACCCGAAGCCATAACAAACTTTTCTGCCCGCGATCCTACTTTCAACGGCACTTCGAAGCAAGTGTTGTGAGAATCTTTTACGCCCATCAAATCTGCACCTGCCATATTTTCTCTCACCTCAGCATTTAAAATTTTAACTTGATCCTCCACATGATTTGGGTCTACAGTGACGGCGCCGAAAGAAAATCTTTCAGAATTTTGATATTCAGAATTTGAATCTAACAGTTCATCCTCAAACCGCTCCCATCTTTGTAACCACCACTCGGAATCGACTTCCGACGACTGAACCTTAGTTGTCGGCCTACGTGTGTTCAAAAAATCCACCGGCGTAAATATTTCTTCCACCATTTAAATCAAAAAGATTGAATTATTAATCTTCACCTCCATTGTCCTATTAATGGGTGTCCACTTGGAAGTGTAAATTAGTATCCTTGCAACATCCAATCTAGCTTGACGCGCCGTGCAATCGTCCAAGGTTAAAAAAGAACCAACTAGGCCAGCCACAAGGCTGAAAAAGCTACCCTTCCACGCATGAACCGGAACGCCCTTCAAACGAACCCAAACCTGCCTCTCCTTAGCCACCTCCTCAGGCTTCCATTTCGACAACGAAACAAAATAATTTGCCAACATAGATTCGGCGTCCTTCACCAACTCTTCTAACGCTTCACCCAACAAAGGTTTAAGCAGCACTGTATCCCCTCCCATGGGGACTACAGTAAACGACGACAGGCCGTCTCTAATCAAACGATCTTGCAACGCATAAATTAGTTCTGGCGCTGAAACTCGGCCCACATAACACGTTTCCAACATTTCTACCTCCTCTGATTCCACATGAAAAGATAATCCATGCCAATCAGATAAGACACAACCTTCTCCTTTCACTGACCTTTTCACCCTCCACACCTCTCTAACAATGTGAGATACGACTGGCTTCGAATCTGCCTTTGGAACAGGTGATTTCATTGAAATCGTAGCCTTATTCTGTACCGCACCTCCCTCCTTGCCGATCACCGCCTCTTGTGAGATCAACATGCCTTGATCCTTTTCCCTCCTATCGAACCGCCGCACGTTCACCCTTAGTTTAAACGTACCTATCCAGAGAATGGAATTCTTGTTCCAAAGAAAACACATCTTCCGTTGGACCAATTGTAACAAAGCCGAAACGTTGACCACCTCTATTCAATCTACCGGATATAAAAAGGTTTCTGATCGTTCCCCACCTGGTGAAAACATTCCGCATAGCTTCTTCCCCATACTGACTTGGGAAATTGGTAAAGTAAAAAGTAGGATAAATTTTCGCTTTGGATCGCCGCCCATCACACCTTCGAGATCTCACCTCCTGCCACTCAACTATCTAAAATGGACAAAAAAAATTTCAACGTACACACGGTGAAATTTGATTTTAAAACCTTATAAAAATTACTTAAACATTATACTATTAGCCCCATTTTAGTAAGTTTGGACTTTGTACTACCACTTAATTCTAATATAAAAAAAAACTTGCGATTAATTTTTCTCCACCATGATTGTAATTAATTTCTTGTTTTTTAATATCTTATCGTCGAATTATACTAGTACATCTATAATTCTATATATTACGCTGTTAATAATTATTTTCTTGCATTGGTTTTACAATTAGCGACCAAAAAAAGGTCATGAAACAAGATGATCAGGTTATAAAGCAAAAACAGCGACAAAAGTCAAGATAGAGGCACAAAAAAATGAGATCTCCCTAATCGGCAACCTGCCAACACCTGCAATTATTGTTTGAGTTTGGAACGTTGGATTCCTCACCAATCAATTCCAATCCACTTGTGAAAAAGACAGCCCAATATTCATTTAATTTTTATTTATTTTTCAAAAAAAATGTTGCCCTCTTCCTATTCAACAAATGTCCACCTTAAGAATTCTGAAATCAGATTAACGAGTTGGTAGTTTGTTTTCCCACACAACCATGGATTTTGGCCACCAAAATATTCCCTCACTTGCAATCTTTCTCTTCTTGTTCACAGTGTTTAGCATATTTTGGAGATCAAAAACCAAGCCTTCAAAGTTGCCACCAGGACCCCCAAAACTGCCTCTTATAGGAAACTTGCACCAGCTTGGTTCAATGCCTCATCATGGCCTAGCAAAACTTTCACACCAATATGGTCCTCTCATGCACATAAAACTTGGTTCACTTTCCACCATAGTGGTGTCTTCCCCTGAAATGGCCAAGGAAGTGATGAAGACACATGACATCATTTTTGCAAATAGGCCTTACCTTCTGGCTGTTGATGTCATATCTTATGGCACCAAGGGCATTAGCTTTTCCCCTTATGGAAGCTATTGGAGGCAGATGAGAAAGATTTGCACCTTTGAGCTGCTAACTTCAAAGCGTGTTGAATCATTTCAATCAATTAGGGAAGAGGAGGCATCAAACCTTGTTAAAGAGATAGGTTTGAGTGAAGGGTCATCCATCAATCTTAGTAAGATGATCAATTCCTGTTCCTACGGCTTAACATCACGTGTAGCCTTTGGAGGCAAATCCAAAGATCAAGAAGCTTTCATAGCTGTTATGAAAGATGTGTTGAAAGTTGTTTCTGGTTTCTCCCTAGTTGACATGTATCCAATTAGAGGGTTTGAAGTTTTGACAGGATTCAGGTCCAAAGTAGAGAAGCTGCATCAAGAAGTGGATAGGATTCTTGAGAAAATTGTGAGAGATCACAGGGAGACAAGTTCAGAAACTAAGGAAAACATTGAAAAAACAGGTGAGGATCTAGTTGATGTCCTGCTAAAGCTTCAGAAACAGAACAACCTTGAGCATCCTCTGTCTGACAACGTTATCAAAGCAACCATTTTGGTTAGTGTTTTGCAATTACAACTCACATCACAAATAGACATCATCATAGATTAACTAATATCTGTTGGCTGAGATTGTTGTAATATTTTATTTGTTAAAGATTCTTAGGTAATACTTGCTGGCAGAGGATAACCAAGATTGGCAGTATACTTTAAATTTTTTACTACAAACAAAGTTTAAGTAAAATATATCTATGTTAAAATTCTCATATATTCCAACAAAGAAGTTTATGAGAAAGGCTCAAGTATAATCTATTTGACATGTAAATTACTCAATATAAACTTAACCATTTGTTTAGCTAGAGTTGTCGATTTGTATTAAAATTTGGTTAAATTTCTTTATAAGTATTATAATATATAAAAAAAATAAGTAAAATAAATTGAGCTTCTCTTGTAAGCTAAGATCAACTGAAGCATCTCAACTTTTGAAGAAGATTGATGAACTCATAAGAAAGCTTCAATAAAAGTTAAGTGAAGTTGATTTTAACTTATGAGGGAAGCTCAATTCATTTTATCTTCTTACTTTTTCATCTCCTATAATATTTACTGAGAAGCTTATCTAAACAAGTTTAGATATACTGTACTAATTCAGTAGTTCTGCAGAAGATTGTTGGCAATAATGTTCATTTTAACAATTCTTTCAGGATATCTTCAGTGCTGGAAGTGGTACATCAGCTAAAACCTTAGAGTGGGCAATGTCAGAACTTGTCAAAAACCCAAAAATAATGGAGAAAGCACAAGCTGAGGTAAGAAGGGTCTATGGTGAAAAAGGGCATGTAGAAGAAGCTAACCTCCATGATCTCAAGTACTTAAAGTCAGTGATCAAAGAAACATTGCGACTACACATTCCTGTTCCATTTTTACTACCAAGGGAATGTAGTGAGAGATGTGAAATTAGTGGTTATGAAATACCAGCCAAGACTAAGGTTATTATTAATGGTTGGGCTATTGGAAGGGATCCAAACTATTGGGTTGAAGCTGAGAAGTTTTGTCCAGAAAGGTTCCTTGATAGCTCAGTTGATTACAAAGGTGCAGATTTTCAGTTTATTCCATTTGGTGCTGGAAGGAGGATGTGTCCAGGAAGTGCATTTGGCACTGCTAATGTTGAACTCTTTCTGGCAAATTTGCTTTTCCATTTTGATTGGAAGATGCTCAATGGGGACAAGCCTGAAGAACTTGACATGACTGAATCATTTGGCTTGTCTGTTAGAAGAAAACATGATTTGTACTTGATTCCTAGCATGTACTTATCTGCTAACTAAAACCAATATCTAGGAACTCTTGTGTATGCTCTCATTCACTGGATGTTACTATTGTTGAGGTAAACCTGGAAGGAGGAATCAAAATATCCGGATCCTCTCATGCTTGTTTTTGTCTCCATCTCTCTCCAGCACACTTCTAAATCGTTGGATTAATCTAACGATTGATGTCAAAGTTGAAGACAAAATTCTGTTCGGCATAGTTATTCACTCTTGAATCAATAATGGTTAATGTTAAACTAAAAACTCTTCATTACCTGATGGTGTGTGTGCTGGTAAGGGTGTACAATTTTTTATCTCTCAAATTTAGAACATATATTTTTTATTTCCAAAATATAAAAAAAAATTATTATTTTAATTATTTTGTCTAAATATCATTAATAAATTTGTCACACAAAATTTTTCTATTAATAAATATCATATTAAATCAATTAATAAAATAAACTGTCTTAATATGTCCCTGTCAATTAATGTATTATTAGTTATAAAAGACAAAACCAATATTTTTTTTTAAATTATAGAAACTAATAAAAAGATAAATATAAAATTTGAAAGATTAAATTAATAGTTTTTATATATCTGGAGTAACATGTTTAAAATTTGATGGGCGAAAAACTTATATATAAAGACTAAAATGATATATATATATATATATACATACACCAGTAGTATGTAAAGTATGGCCTTATTTAGGATCTTTGTCAATGTACTCTAAAAAATTATTGCAAAGGAAGAATATCATGAAGAAGTGGAACTGTGT